TAACACAAACACCTATAAATCTGCTGAATGCATCAGCCAACACACTCGAGTCCTTCGAACAATCGCCACGCGGCATTTTAATGGCAACCGCCGCCGCCGCCGCTGCTGCTACTGCTGCTGCTGCACCGCTAGTCAACGACACCGACACGGAATCGGAACTGACTGATGCAGCTCACTTGGAGCTCTACAACAGCATCAACACTTTTAATAGCACGGATGATACGGCGGTGCATCGAAATGTTTGTGCGCATCCCGAGTATATCATTTTCACTTGGGTGCTGTGCCTCGTTTCGCTGGCGACAGCGCTAAAGCTCTACTATCTCATTAAAACTTTACTCGCTATGGCTATGGTCGGCTGCTATATGATCTTAATATTGACACTATTCCAAGCGCTCTACTCGTCATCAGCTGCGAGTTTCGATTATCTACGCATGGCCATGCCACTGGATGTGCAGATGCTTATACTGCTGTGCTCGTTCTTGATTATGGTCGGCTATCATGCGCGCCTGGTAGAGGTGAGTATTTGAGTGAGGGCGATAACTCTTATCTTTTTATGTTGTAGGTGTTTTCCCTAAAAAAAATATTTAGTTAAAATGCTGTCGTCCTTCAAACTCAATAGGCGCGTTTACGCTTACAAATTTAGAAAGCACGCTAAAACTAAAAAAAATATATTCTTAGTGAACACCTACCCAATAAACCACAAAAAAATGTCAAAACTCAGCCTATTTAGTTGCGCTTCCTCGCAAATCAGCAGTTCTGCAGTGGAATTCTGACATTCGCTGCGCTAAATTTTCGTCGCAAAAATTCTTCAAATGAAAAGAAGTGAGGCCAAAAAGTATACAAATGAAGAAGCTCTGATCCAGTACTCCAAGAACTTTGCAGGTTTTTACACGAAATTGTAGGAAGTTACAGGAAAAATGTTCCCGTATTCCAAAATCATGTAAATGAGTGCGATTTTTGGAGAGTTGTGTAGAGAGTGAAGTTGCAAGGTTTTACCCGAACTTTATCTTCTGCTAAAATCATGAAAAGTGTCAAGCGATAAGCTGTTTGACGTTTTTACAGGAAAAATGTTTTTTTTTTGTTCCCGAACTTTTTGGTTGTTACTCACTTTTTACTCTCACTTTAGAGAGTAAACTTGCTGTTTGACATTTTTACAGGATTTTACACGAAAAGTATTGGATCAGAGCTAATGTGTATTCAGCCAAACTTAGCAGTGATGGGCATGTGGCTAAATGTTGCGCGCCTGCTATTTTTTTTTTTGAAGATTTATGGCCATCAAAATTAGCAATATCGTATATTGGAATTCGGCTGCTGGTTAGCATAATCTTATTAGCAAACAGTGCCGAGAAGTATGCAATATTAGATACATACATACATACATATTTCTTTTCCTGTTTTTGTTTCTTCATGTGGCAAGACTCCCTCCTGATTTAAAGAGCGTTAAATGCCTTATAGATGAGAGAAAATTACAGAATTTCTCTTTTGGTAAACTCGCTTTCTTTTTCGATGAAGGCAGTGTTATTGGATGCCCGGGCATGACCGTTTTAAAGAAATGAGAAATAACCTTGCAAACTCATCTATTGGCTGACCCAAAAAACGAGCTATTTCAACGTCATGATATAGTTAGCATCGTGCGTGTCGTCTTCAGAAAGACTTAGTCAATCGGAAAGAAACGTTGCTTTTACTTTAACAGCCTGATACACTTGACATTGTCCTTAGATAACGTCTCAGCTCCAACTTGGAACATATTTCAAGGCCCTCTACAACACAAATCTAGCTCAGCATTAAAGGATAAATTCAGAGGGCAATTGGCCAAAACGTTCATTTCAGATATATCAAATAAAACAGCCAATACGCAGGCAAAGGACTCTCCAAGCCTCTCAAGATCGACTAACTTGGCTCCGCTTGAAATTATCCATATAAGATTCATCCTGACTACATGAGTCCAACAAAAGACCTAAGAGTAGATGTAAACAGGAATTAAGGAATACGTTTGGGAAAGCATTCCTTAGTTGATATTTTCATTTAACAGTGAATAAAAAACGGTGCAGACAGATCAGTCTGACTTACTGTGATGACTGTCCCAATTTTAATATAATATCAATGAAGCCAAAAAATGTGTAGTAATATCGCTTTCAACTCTTATGTCAATTCAGTATAGTAGGAAACAAGTTTTGGCCAAAAAAAAAGTAATTGAGGGCGTACATAGATTTTCGGACAATGTCTGCTCTGAAGCGAATAATCAAGTTCTCTTCAATTCAATTTTTTGGTTCGTTGGGTATGTGTAGTAAGCTCGTGGCATTCACAGTCAGCGCCCACAAGGAGTCAGCAAACAATTAAAATATGTACCATCTATGTTTTTGCACGTAATTAATGACGTTTTTTCTATTTTCTCATGCTTTTCTCATTTCTCCATTTATTTTTATTTTTTCTTATTTTTTCTTGTGTTCGAAATACTTGGCTGCGCAATGAAACGCCAGGTCACTTCGCGTTTGGATTTCATTTGGAAGGAGCAAGCTGAGCGTGAATTAATGAATATGAAATCGAATCGTGCACTTAACGACACATTAATTAAGGTAAAATAAATGTTTGCGCATTTTGCTCTCTTTTAAGTTTGCTCAAGTATTTTTCAGTATTTAGTGGTGCTTGGCACAAAAAATTAAAGAAACTATTTTGTTGCACTGATTTGTTTTTTTTTAATTTAATTATACTAAATACGTACGTTTGATTGCTTACATACCTCCATTATTTGTTTTCAGAACATTTTGCCAGATCATGTTGCTGCCTATTATCTCTCCGATGAACACACAGACGAATTGTATTCGAAAAACCATGCACTTTGTGGGGTTATGTTTGCTTCTATACCCAATTTTCAGGATTTCTATTCGGAGGACATCGACAATGGCAAGGCATGCATACGGATATTGAATGAGATTATATGTAAGTGATGTTGGTAGAACTAATTACTATTAATTAGATTTTTTCGATTTTTTATCGATTTTGCTATCGATATTATTATAGATTTTGTTATCGATATATTTATCGATTTTCTTGTCGATATTTTTATCGTTTTAGTCATCGATATTTTTATCGGTTTTGTTACCCATATTTTCATCGATTTTGCTATCGATATTGTTATCGCTTTTGTTATCGATATTTTTATCGGTTCTATTATCGATATTTTTATTAATTTTGCTATGGATATTGTTATCGCTTTTGTTATTGATATTTTGTAATCGATTTTTTGATAGATTTTGTAATCGATTTAGTTATCGATTTTGTTGTCGATATTTCTATCGATATTAATATCGATTTTGCTATCGATATTTTCATCGATTTTGTTACCGATATTTTTTCTTAGTGTGTGCTTTCATTTTTGACTTGGATATGCTCTTAACTATATCACGTACTCTACGCTTAAATTTAGCGTAGGAGGCGCTAGACTGTTCCTTTTTTTCGAATAATCTTAAGTCTATAGGTATAATAAAAATATATTACACGTGTGCCATTAATAGATTAGATAAAAAAATATATATAAAGTAATGATTTTGAAATATTAAAATTTATTTAAGTTTTCCTGTTTCATTACATTTTATATTATATTCGGCCCAAACAAGGGTCAAAATGACCCACACGCGTGAGAAATAATAAGTTAAAATGTTCCACAAAATATGCACCACTAAAATTTAATATAGACACTTAAATGCATTATTGATGGCAAATGTAGTCAAATACGAGGTTTTTTCAAGTAATTAAGATCAATTGGAGGCCATATTAAGAAAACTTCAATGCACCGTTGGTCTGATATTCTAGAGCTCTTGCTCTTTCATAATTGCGATTCGGCATTCGTGTCCTTTTTATTCGTCTCATTTTATTTTTATTTTTTCAAATATTAAGATACACTTGAGACCAAATAAGAAATCTTCCATACACTGTAAAAAAAATGTGACTTTAAGGTTCAAAAGAGCAGGTGGTCTGATATTCACAACTTTTTTTTCAAGTGTCGAACACCAAAACTTCTATAGATATGCTGATATATACCCTGGCCGCGAGAGTCCCGAACATTTTTGTATTTTATAGATGAATGGAACAATGCATCCTTCCAAAGAATAATGACGCTGAAAATGTCACAAACCTAATTTGACAAGTTGGGACGGAAATTCGTTCCAAAATACATCATACACCCTTTTGTCACGTGAAGTTGAGACTCGTGTAATAACTCTGTAATTGGGATTGACAGCTCGTATTAAGCATTTAAAATCACATTGAAGAAGTTATACGACAGTGAGTCGTCTTGTCTAAAAACTCCTTGGGTCCCAAATAGCTTGGCAGGGCCCATACCGTTTGGACTGAACTTAAAACGGTGCTCGACGTCACTGCCGTATAAGTTTTACAAGGATCTTAAATTTACACATGGCGTTGTGTAGGCAGCATCTATCCATTTATTCCTATCAAAAGTAGATTTTAGACGACAAAGCGGTTGGTTGTCGATTTGCTTGCAGAGGTTATTTTCTAAACTTTGATGGTTCAATGATGGATTTGTCAATTCCGACACCACACTGATAAGACCCCACCGGTTGATTCATGGTGGGCTTAAGTCTGTCACACAGTACCGTCGACAGGATCTTATAAGCAATACTAAGAAACCTTCTTCTGCGATAATTGTACACTGAATTTTCAATATTCGGGCATTTTTTCATCAGATCAGATTTTATTTTGTCGGCTTTGAACAAATCAGTTAGTATTCCTTCCGCTCTAGGAGCTTTGTTGCACTTAAGCCTCGTTATTGCCTTTTTGACCACGTCTAGGTCAAGTAGACCTTAGCGTTAAAGTCGTCAATGGCCCTTTAATCTCATCGTCTTTCTCCTACGTAGGCTCGTGGGCTGAAATTTAGCTGTTAAACATATTTAGTTGAACTTATTTTTGATGTGAATAGTTGCCATTCATTCCTGAGGAGGGTGAAACTGCAAACGAGGTTTCGGATTCGCCTCCCAACTAAAAATCTGTCTTTGAATTTTTGCGTCGCCTCCTGGCATCTGTAATAAACATCGCATGCTGCATATTTTTACAGTCATGCCTTATCTATCGCATTTTCGGCAATGTCATGATGCCTCCCTTATCCGCATTTCGACAGAGGCACCTTTCCAAGACGCTCCATATGCATATCCATAAATAGCAGTTCCGCTTTCGTGTGCCTAGGCCCGCAGCTTAGCCAAACACACCAGTAGTACATTTGCGTTTTTTTAGTTTAAATAAAGACCCACTGTTAATTGACAATTACAAGTTAATTAAACTATTGTCCTCTTTTCCAATCCCCAGGCGACTTCGACGAACTCCTGGAAGAACCCCGCTTTGCGTCCATTGAGAAAATCAAGACTGTTGGCGCCACCTACATGGCCGCTTCCGGTCTAAATTCAGCACATTTGAATGCACGCGGGGAGACAGCGGAAGACAGCGTTTGCGATTTGGTTGAGTTTGCCTTTGCCATGAAACAGAAGTTGGAGGAAATCAACAAGGAAGCATTCAACAACTTTCAGTTGCGCGTGGGCATCTGTAGCGGTCCGTTGGTGAGCGGTGTAATTGGCGCGCGCAAGCCCGTCTATGACATCTGGGGCAATACGGTGAACGTGGCCTCACGTATGGACTCCACCGGCGAGAATTGGCGCATACAAGTGCCTACCAAAACTTCAGAGCTGCTAAAGGGCAAGGGATACACGTGTGTGGTTAGTAATAAATATTTACATACAAACATATTTAGTTGAGGACAATTATTTTGTTTTCTTTTTTGGGGGTCTCACATTCACATTTTTTTTTTTAACTTAGAAACGCGGCGAGATAAATGTAAAGGGCAAAGGCCTAATGGTCACGTACTTTGTGCATCCTAGAGGCGCCAATGAAAGTCAATTATCGTCACCGGTGCGACTGCCGGCGGGTGTGCCATTATCGCAGACGCCCAACTTACAGCGCCAGACATCGCATCATGGCTCCTTCAGCGCTGTGGTGTTCGGCATGTTGCAGGCATCGAAACGTAGCACAACCATAGCAGGCACACGTAAGAGTCACCAATCTATAATTTGGCAGTTGTTTGTTTGTATGTACATATGTATGTATATACGCTGCTTGCATGCATGTGTATATAGATATTTACAAAAATACAAACATACATGTAGTACATATGTAAAGTTATTTACATACATACAATTGGTTCTATTTTTTTATCGCTTTCAATGGATTTGCAGCGACTGGCACTCCCTCACCGCAAATAAGACGTGGTCGTCGTGGTAGTACCTTCAGTTCAGTGCGTCTATCGCAAAAGTCTACCACCACCAACAATCCGGTGAGGCGGAATACAACACGAGTGCGTGGTCGCTCATATCGACAGAAGAAGGTGGCACATTTTGAACGTCCATCGAAGAGAATTGGCTAAGTAGTAATTAATTTTCGTTCTTTTTCTCTTTTTTTTTTTGCTACTTTGTTGCAGAGCTCGTCCAACAACTCGATAGTAACACAGACCAGTAATTCGTACATTTCGTCGTTTCGACGCATCGATCAGATTGAGACGACGCTGTCCAAAAGTCACAATGATGCTTTATAGCCAATGCGCAATTGGGTGTAAGTCGACGCACCTGCGCAAGGCGACCAATTTTAATTTACTACTAAATACTACTACTACTATGTGCACACTTATTTATTATGCGAGTATATTAGCTATAACTATTTACATATAAAAAAAATTAGTTTAGTAAAGATATTTACGTACAAAGAATATCACTTTTTCGAAAGATAAAAAAAGTTTGACAAGCACTTCCCAGTGATCCCTTTGGTGTAAACTGATTTCAATTAAGCAAAAAAAGCATTTATTTTTGGAGCATTTTTTAATAAGTTAGTAACTTAGATTCAGATACATATGTACTATATATACTATATGTATGTATGTAGATAAAATGTATAAATTACTGTATGTATGTACTTAAGTGTCTACGATGCAATTGCTGTTAGCAAATGTGAATGTGAACAGATTTACCTAGCTTTATTTTATGTAATTGTATGAAAACTTAAACAAATGTCAAGGCGATTTTAAAATTTTCTTAGAAGCTAAGTAATCAAAGGAAGGAAATTTGTATGTATGTATGCACTTATTGGTACATAAATAAGTACAACTTTTTGAGAATTTTTTATCTGTAAACTTCTTAGCGCTCGGTATGGGTAAAATTTGCGTTAAACCAGCAGAAAATTTGTAACTGCTTCTTGTGTGTACAAATGAACTCTTCTCGAGGGCTATTTCAGCCCATTTCGGCACTAATTCGGAACGTTTTCGGGATCATTTCGAGGTCTGTTCCAGACAATTTAGGGTTAGCTACGACTATTCGAGGGCCATTTTTGGTCTAGTTCTGGATCATTTCGNGCACGCCACTTTTTTTAGAAAAAAACTAGGGACTCTCTCCCAAATTGACCTTGTGATCATTTAACATAGTTGTGAAGTCGGCGCGTGCAAAGGTCTTCATTGAGATCCGGACCACTCCTAGCCCTAAATGCTATGCTTGGGATCGTACCTGGTTATATTGCGCACAAAGCAGCGGCAGTTCACACAGCCATTAAGCTCAAAAGCTGTGGATTCTCTTTTAACCCAGCATATTGGCACTCGGCAATTCTGAAAAGCTTCGACCTCCTACCGGCAGAAATAGATAGGAATGC